TCTCATCACATTACTTACATAGCATAACTAAATAGAGGACTATAGTGGGCTGTAGCCCAAGTAGCTCTTTGAATATATATATATATATATATATATATATGGATAAAAATAAAACTATACAGGTACAACCCATCAAAAAAAAAATATATATATATATAGATACAAATATACCTATTATAGTCCATCAACTTGCCATTTCTAAGTATCCAATGTCTTTTTAATTAGATTGGGTTCTCTTTGTTAATCTCTTATGTGTGTACGCTTTTTGTGGAAAAAATCTAAAATGGTTTACCTTAAGGATAATAATTATTTTACTAAGGATGTACTTGTAGGATTATATTACAGTAATGAACCTTAATATGTAAGATACACGATAATGATTTCTTCAATAAAATACTCTTCTTGCATGCATTTTGTGTTCGTCTAAAAAATAAATAAAAAATTGTAAGTATAAAAAATAATAATTACATTTTACGCTAAAAAATTTAACTAACCCACCTATCAAAAAATTCATAGTTCCGTCGTTGTCGCACTCTATTCATTTTCTGAACAATTTGATTCCATTTGTCATCTTATGTAGAGGCTTGAACTTTTGAGTCACATTTCAAGAAATTTTAAAGTATTTGTTTTTTTCAAGGTTCTATTCCATTATATTAATAATGTTGCAGGTAATAGTGGGGGCCAGAGATCTAATAACATTTCAAAGTATTCCGAAGAGTCGACAATAATATAAAAATAAATAGACAAAAAAGGGACGTGATTCTCAGTAATTTATTACAAATATATACTTTGTTGTTGTTGGCTTCCAAATCCTTTTTATTGTTGGGTTGGAAATGGCACACACACTTCCAGTGCACCACTTAAAAATCTTAGACTGACAACACAGCAAGCAGCTAGCTAGGGTTTTGCAGAAGAAGATGGTGATCACGTCATTGCCGACAAAGAAGACAAAATCTTCTCAAGTTTCAAAAGCTATAGCTAGCTTCCATATATACCATACGACTGCTCTGCTGGCGTGGCCAGGGCTAGGGATTATTACCAACAGACAGACAACAAGCATGTGTCTAAAGTGAAGCCAGTCATCTTTTTAAAAGTCCACTCATGCATACCACGACAATAACAAATTAATTTACTGTATGCTTCTTTTTTATTCGATCGATTTTACTCCATCATTACAATTTTGACGAACCACAAATAAGATACTATTGTTCACAACCATTAATCAAATAATTTTCCCTTGATTAAGACGTTTGATTAATGGACTAATTAAAAATGCATCTAAACTCTCCCTGAAGGCAAACTGTGAGCTTGACTGCAGCCGCCGCCCCCCCATCTTTCATCTCTCTCCTCTCATTTCCCTTTCTCATTTTCTAGTTTTCTTCACCTCTCCTATTCTCTCCCCATATTTGTCTGGATTTTGGGTCCTCTTGCCTTTGTTTGTTTGTTTGTTTGTGTGTTTTTTGTTGTTGGTCCTTGGTGACTTTTGTTGTTCTTAGATGTGTCTTGCTATCACTAAGATGGTTGCGGTGCAGTGTTGTCGACCCATCTTTTCTATTTGGTTTTCGTTGTGTTTTTGAAGTAAGTACTGCAATCCACCGCAGACACCATGATTTTGTTGTAGCTTTTGGTCCACGCATATGGAATTTGCTCCAATTCAATGTTTGAAGTCGGAAAAGTGATTGTTGCTAGTATGTGTGGGATCGGGTTTTGCCTGTGCAAAATAAGAGGTTTAGCCATGTTGGTGCTAAGAGTCTCTTTGGTTTATTGGAGAGGAAGTGGTGCGGTGTCCTTGTTTCTGTGTTTATTTTAGTCTAATAATTCTCAGAAACTCAATATGAGTTTGCTGATGTATGTATTTAGTGTTTGACTTTTCGATGCGGCTTTGCCTTTATTGCCATTGCGCGGTGGATCTAAATTGTAGGTCTAAGTACAGATACTTCTTGTCTGCCGAATTGGAGTTTTTAGGTTTTTCTAGCCTGTGTAATTCTCTCCATATCAAACCAATTTATTTTTGTGTTTGGTCACTGGAGATGTTGTACTCATACTTGGCATTGCGACTATTTTGTACTTTTTTCTGTGTTATAAATAAAATTACTGTTGCTTTTAATTTAAAAAAAAAATTTAAATGCATATAGTGGAAATCGGATTAGCATCAAATTAATGGGTTTATTAATTAAAAATTGGAATTAGAATCATGAACTGAATTCCAATTATTGAGTATTCTTGTGTTTACTTTACATCAAGGAATTAAAAAGTAAGTGGGGCTGACATAAAATCATGAATTCAATTTCTCATTTTGGAGGAATTTAATTCTTAGGTGGGATATGGTATTCTAATTCCTGGAGAACTAATCTATTATGAATTCATCTTGTTTACCCATTATATCCTCATACAATTTTAATAATTTCAAATTTGCCATACTTTTTTTTTGGGTCTGAACATTTGTCATACTTTAACCCAACAACGAGGACATTTTACTAATTTGCACTACTCTAACCCAAATTTCATAAGGTTTAGTAAACAACTTCAATAGGAATCGAAATCTAATTCTCCTCAATCTAATTCCTCCTCAATTCAATTCCTCCTAATTCAACTATAGATTAATAAACATGTCATAAGTCTAATTAAGCAGATGGTCATAGCCTAAAGGGAACACAACAATTTTCTTTAACTAAATTAAAAAAATTGGGGCAAGAACAGTCATAATTAATGCCACAGTCCCACATCCAGTTACAAAACAAAACACCTTTGACATTATAAGGGACTAAAGATGTTGAGAAAAACATAACATTTGAATAATGGCTAACCACCCGGCTGCTCGTGTCCCCAATATCTGTCTTTCATGAGTGTGATCGTGATAGAAGGGAGAGAGACTTTGTGCATATAATATAAAATGGCTCATGCTTTTTGTGTGGGGATTTTTAGTTTGTATTACGGTCGGTCGAGTTTTCTTCATTAGGTGACAAAGTCTCCTCTGCAGCATCCATCATCCGTATGATTAACTTATTCACATGTACGGTAAAATTTCGAATAAATTGACTGTGAATCTGAATTGCACGTTTATATAAAAATTAACTTATCCAATTATTCAAAGTTATTTATAATGCACCTCACCATTCACTTACTTATTATAGTATTTGGAAGTGCATCGATGCGTCATAACAGCACCATTTGGAAGTACCTTACTTATTATAGTATTAAGGTACTATTATCCATAGCTAATTATTAATAGTTCGTTTTCAAGCCATTAGAAGAAGGGCAACCATCCATATATATATATATATATATATATATATATAAATTCTCTTATATGCGAACGTCTGAATGTTATTATTATGTGGACGCCATGTATTTTGTACTACTACTCCTTACTTTCCCGTTTGTTTATAATAGCATCCTCACAATAATAATGTACGGACATTCAGATAAGAGAATAACTATATATATATATATAGAGAGAGAGAGAAAAGTAAAAGATGACCTTTCTTAGTCCATTTCCAATAGTGATATATTTGGAAGCAAAGGAAGGAACTTTTAGACAAAACCTCTCTATGATAAAGTTAAGTGGGACTTTTTGTTCCCCCACCCCCACTTTGATGTAACTTTCATTGCCCATAAACATCTTTTGCAAAGTTATGGCTCCCATTGATTCTCCGGCAAAATAAGAATAAATGCCTTTTGAAAAAAAATAAAATGACCCTAGCTATGTGCATAATTTTTGTATTTAAATAAAGGAATTAATAGAGCTGCATGTGGGGTTTCACTATCACCACTTTCCACAGGGTAAGTAAACATATGTGCAAATACAGAAACTATTCAATACGTATCCGTGGAGGACCATGTTATCAACGTCATGTGGTCATCGTCCTTATAATACAACAACAGTACAATTAAAAGGAAACAACAATACAAATTTTTTTTAACTTGGTAATAATGTGACATAGGATGTGGTTTATTATATGTATCCATCACTAATTATTATCTATCGTGTACGCATGCTCTGCCAGCGAGAATTCACGTTGTACGTTATCTTATCAGGGACAAGATATTTTCCGTAATGTATCATTTGTTGTCTTGCAAACCCGATAATCATTGATCCATGTTAGTCATAGGAATCATGTTCGATTTGGTTTTTAGCCAATAATTAGATTATGTTGTGTGGACTAGATTGCAAGAGTTCTTCCATGAAAGCTAATTATGTTCCAGTGGGATTAAGAGAAGCCATGCAGAAACTAAGCAATTCAGTAATTTCCTTCTTACCTCCTCTTTCTCCTCTGCTCTTGCCCAAAGGTTAGGCGTTGATGTTGGCTTTGACCGTGGTTAATTGGTCGGGGGAAAAGGCCAAAAAAGCTCTGTAACCGACCGTTGGGTTGGTGGGTATTTCGGGCTTTGTGCTGACAATGAATTCAAAAAGTTCCCGGGCTGCCCGGTTCAACTCGGGTAAACCCCAAAGTAAAAGTCATTGGAATTGCAAATGAAACATGAATAGTCAACAATTGGTCAACCTAATTATTGTCGGTTGCATACAATTTGCAAAAGTAAGCCAACCATGTTACGTAAAACTGTAAATTTCTTACTCATTTACAACAGAGCAAAAGCTGAGAGAGAGAAAGAGAGAGAGATCTTCTCCATTAATATAATATTACACTGAAAGAAGAAGAAGAAGAAGAAACATAAACTTCGACCAAAAAAAGAAAAAGAAACATAAACCAGCTGAGCTCGCGAAAGCTACCTACAGTCCAAAAGCTACAAGCTGGTTCATGACGATCAAAAAAAGTTACAGTCACCAAAACAAAGAAGACTGTAAACAAAAAAAACGTTACAAGCTAAGCTACAGCCTAACAAAAACAAAAAAGTTGTTAGGGTTTTAAATATTCCAGGAGAAATCCCGGGGACCCTGTCTCTCTCTACCATCCCTCTGGTAATTTTCTCCCTTCCTATTTTCGCCGCCACCACCAACAGCAGCAAAACCACCCAGCACTATTAAACAGTCGACTAGGCTATGCCTGATTTGCCAAGTCCTTTGATTCTATAAACGTCCCATGAAATCCGTACGGGACCCTTGATGGTAATTTCACCGTCGCTTCCAGTTTCAAATTTGCCGCATTCACAATCTGGAGCTCCGATTTCCACCTTTTTTCATCGTGCACAAAAGCCATTATGTACCCGTCGTCTTCCGATGAACCCAATTCCGTATTCGGGACAAAAAACGGCTCGCCGCCGTACTTTTTATCACCGTATATAAATTTTTTTACCTCTCCGGTAGAAACATCCACCTTCGCGAAGCCCGATACTTTCGGCCACGGCTCCGCAATTGCGAGGTATGCGAACCGAGTTTTCCTCCCGAGCCGGTTCCGGTTCACCATTCCCGCCTCCAAATTCACATGCTCCGATTCCGACAGAATCGCCCTCCGTGTAGACTCGCCGGTTTTCAAATTGAGCCTGATTTCGGACAGCACGCTCTTGAGGCTCTCGTCGCATTCGTTGAAGATGGAGTCCGGCGGCGTCATGCAGGACCCGATCACGACAACCTCGTCTGACTCGGGCTCCTCCCACGCGTTCCACAGGTGGAAGCAGAACGTGTCGGGGGAGTCCACCCACACCAGGTCGTCAGCGTTTTTGGCATTCTTCTTGAGAATTCCGAATCTCGACATCTTGTCCTTGTCATAGATCACGGGGGAGCCTCCCGTGATCATCTCCTGCAGCTTGAACACCACCTGCTGGTCCGGAATTACCACGTAATTTTCTGTGATGGCAAAGTCGTGCATCATGGTGGGCCCCGCTAGGGGGATTTCGACGTCTGGGGATTTTGCGCCGTCTGGAGAGACTTGGAAGTACTTGAGATACGGTTTCTGAACGACGTCGTAGCTGAGGGCGAAGAGGGAGCCGGATTCCGGGTCGACCTTCGGGTGGGCGATCATTGTGGACCCCAGCTGGCTGTTGAAATCGTAACGACCGACCGTTTCAAGGTCGCCGGATTTCGTGACTCGCACCTGGTACGGCAAGTCGTCCTCCGACATGGCCAGCAGCCGGCCGTTGTGATAGACCAGACCGGCGTTGGCGACGCCAGTGCCGTGGTTTTTGTCGACGAGGCCTAAAACCCCACGTGCGTAAAATAAGAGGAGGCGGGCGATGCCGGAGTGGCCGTGGAGCTCGCCGATGGCCTTGGGGAAAACGGGTCGCCCGAACTCGCGCTCTTGGACGAGTCTCTGGGTTTCGGTGAACCGGCAGGCGTAACTGGCGGACCCGGAGTCTATGGTGACGGCGTGCACCATGCCGTCACCGTCGAACAAATGGTGGCCGGCGACAGGCTCAAATAAAGGGTTGGCGCCGTTACGGACGTAGACGCCGTTAATGCATTCTGGGATGGTGCCGGTTATGGGTAGGGAGTGGCGGACTGGTTGCTCCGGCACGGGAGCGTAGTTTCCGGCGATTTGGACTCGTGGGTCAGAGGTTTTGGGAAGTGGGTTTTGGCGCTCGCGGGAGACCAAGGCGCCTTCGACCATGTCTATGGCCATGGCTGCCGCTTTCTGTAGTAAATTCCACTGTGGAGGTTGGTGATGATGGTGGGTGCTGTTGTTGGGTTTTGGAGAAGTGGCTTCCTTGGTAATAATTGGTTGATTATAAGGTTGGTTTGGGAAGTGAAGAACCGAGGGAGATTGTAAAGCACAGTGAATGCTGGTGGTTCTGCGAGTTGCTGCTTTGGGGTGTGTTTTTCTCAAGAAGATGGACCTTTTTGGGAAGCCCATAGGATCCACTAGAGAAGAAGAGGAGGAAGAGAGGAGAGTGTGAGGCATTTGGGCTGTAGAGGTAGCCCAAGTATTAGAATTGGGTGCTTTTGGAAGAGCAGCCATATCTGTGTTGTGTATGTATGTATGCACGCAAGGTGTGTTTTCGCTTCAGATAAAGATTTGCTCTCTCCGATTTGAATTTTGAAGAAGCGAAGAGAAGAGAGAGAGAGAGAGAGAGAGAGAGAAAGAGAAAGCGAGAGAGGTCTGGGGGAGAAAGGAAGAGGAAATTTGGAGTATAAATAGAGTCGTGGGGAGGGAGGTGAAAAGAAGAAGAAATGTTCGCTTGTGAGGGAGGGTCCAGTCCACCTCAGACGTCTTGAGAAAAGACCACGTATAGTGTTGGATTGGTGGAAAGGGCAATTGGGGATTGCATTCGAGAGAGGGTCCAATCCCAATTGTTATTTTCCAAAACAAAAAGAAAAATATTATATAAAATAAAAACATTGTAATTGAAATAGAAGGGGAATTATAAAAAATAGGTTATAATTGGAATTAGAAACCAATAAAAAAATAAGAGCGAACATTATACATACATACCCACAAAAATGGAAAAAAAATATACATAAATGGAGATAATGAGGAGTAGTCATCTCCACTCCATGTCCAAGTGATGCCCTTTTTTTTATGCAACTCCGCGTACCTCCCTCTTGAGGACTCATATGGTTGGTTACCCTACCCCACGTGGCCGTTTTCTGCTCTCTTTCCACCACTAAAATCTTGGTCAAATCACTTGCCCCCACACCTCTCCCCCACACACGCATATATACGTTTCTTCTTACATACGGACGTCATGACGTTTCTTCTCACGTTCTAACATTATTATTGTGTGGATGCTATTATAACATAGAGAATAGCAGATAGGACAAGTAAAAAAATACATGGTGTCCACATGATAACAACGTCTCGACACCTGCATAAAAGAAAATCTATACACATAGTATATATTATACTATAATCTAAAAATAATGTTAACGATGCCGCATTTTAGATTACATTAGTTAAAAAATAACATTTAGTCATAACAACAACTACACAAGTTAATTAATGACTCGTTTAGAGTAGTGTTTACTAAGAAAGGACGCATGATGATAAGCGTTTTTATTAGTAAAACAACATAAGCTTCATTAAAAAATGTCGGTACTTCTCTACAAACATTTTAAAGTGTTTCTTAAAGAAGAACCATCCCCACTAAAAAGTGATTTACTGCCAAACAAATCCAAAAACTACGATTTCTTTAGCATTTTTCACTACCCATTTGTCGATGAACTTATTATGAATATGAGGGCTGTCATGGTCTGTTTCATGCTCTGTATCAACATCCATGGCCTCCTATATATGTGACTAGCACGTTCCCGCGACCCATTTTCTTATTATTTATGTTGTGCCCATTGATTTAATTCAATACTTTCTTTTTGTCATATATATCATATAGTTTGTGTTTCTCTACATTTAAAAATCCCAACCCAATTGTCAATATGGGTTGGTTCAATTGATAAAGTGCGAGCTGTGCATTGAGTCCCAACCAAGTTCGATGTCCCATTACCAGCAATCCCATGTTGATGGTTAATTTAGAAAATATCCTGTGTAATTCCATATCACATGATGTGACAGCTAATGTGTACATACCATACCACATCAGCTAATTAATATGATTAACACTTTTTTTTTACCTTTATTAAAATATACTTCATTGAGTTAATTAATGTGACATATGATACAGATATGTCACATGAGTCGTATACAAATGTGGGCGGATGATAGATAATGGCATTAATTGATGAAATGAAGGTAGGTAATTAGGTGGCTGATTTTGTATTTTAGGAAATATGTATATATATATATTCTGGTTTCTGTCCAATATCTAAGCCACCGGAGGCACTGTCGAGGGCCACCGGACAAAGATGGCTGATGGTACTTCACTTCACCTCTCCACTCTTCATTGGATTAATGTAAGCTACTTTAATATGATTTGTTTTTTTCTTTTCTTTTTCGCTCTTGGAGAAGACATATATATATATATATATATATATATATATATATCAAACTTCAAACCTAACCTGGCTAGAGTGGGGACTGTCATCTTTAATTAATAATTTCTTTTCTTTTTGACTGAATTATAATTAATAATTGAAGAAATTTACATATAATTTCTAATGAAGCTTGAACTCTATTAGCTCTTAAGATATCCTAGGGGGGCAATCATATTTTCTAATACTTATGAAATCTCCTTCCTATATAAATATGACAAAGACCAATAACTAAGTATATATATATATATATAGTTAATTACTTGTTGGAGGGGTCGAACCGAGTGGAAAAAGGTCTTTATTTGCAATCCAAATGTTTCATATTTGAATCCCATAGCACCTTGATAGTGTATGTGAGAAACTCCCTTCCTGTAATTTAAACTATCATTTGTACTAAAAAAGTATATATATAATCAGCCCCGATGTCTTGGACCATAGGGGTCCAAGAGATTGTGGTTACTCATCGTTGGATGTTAATCTAACGGTTCAAAAAAGTTTCTTAAAAGGAGTGTAAGAGTGAGTGAACTATTGAATTTACATTTCACGGTGAGTGACCACAAATCTCTTGGACCCTTGTAGTCCAAGAGATCGGGACTGATAATATAATATAGTTAACTTTTTCTGAAATGGAAGTTAAATTAAGTTTGAATTTTTGGTGCAAGATGCGCGGTTTAAAATTAGTACATCGATCCGTCCAAGAGAACATAAATCAAAGTGACTGGGACACATCTGAAGGACAAGATCAGATGGGGTCAGCGACAAACACCACTGGTGAAATCAATGATGAAAATTGTGAGCAATTGCATGGCAATCCTAGTAAAGTCCAACATACAAGTTGCAAAAAAGTTAATAGTACAAGATCATTATTAATTATATATATATTGTATTAAAACAAATAAAGTCTTCCAAATTCAGAGATTGCTAAATATGCCAGTATATGCATATGTTTATATATAAACGAACGGCTGTTACTGGTTAAAACAAGTCGAAGCCAATGAAGGGAAATGTAGCGGTCTACTTGTGAAAAGCCATGACATTTGTTTGGCCATATATATATATATAGGAGGCCTTGTCCCCAGCTAGCTCATATGGATCTGATTGGCTTTGACAATGACAAACCACCCAATTACTTGCTTCACAAATCGGGGACAAATGGTACCACAGCACAGCTTGGAGAAGCAATTAAATGGTTTCCATGTGATCGCTTGAAGTTGTAGCTTTGCAAACGGAAGATGAAAATGGAGTCATTAGGGTTTCACAGAATGAGTTAGTTAATTGAAAATAATGGTGTTTCGTAACAATCCTAATTTATATTTTAGATGTCGTAAGCTAGTAGTACTTTCGGCTACTAGACTCTAATCGAAAAATCAATCTGATTTATTTCGTACCCTACATATATTGGTTTTTAACTTGGGCCAACAACAACAACAAAATCGTTTTCACATTCTTTCAAACAATGGAAAGCTATTGAAGGAAAATGTTGCAATCCACTTGTAAAACGACATGACATTTTAACCTTCATTGGCCATGTCCACAGCTCATCTGATTGGCCTTGATAATGACGAACCAGACGAATTGCTTCACAATACAGGGACAAAGGTACTTCTAGATCTACTACAGCAAATATGGTGATCACAGCTACCGACCTTGGAGGCAATGAATTGTCAATTTTATATTCGGTTTTGGTATTGGTATTTAAACAAAGTGGACACTAACCCTGATTTTGGAAAGAGGAAGAGAAATTAATCAAACTCTTTGCTTTCGGTTTTATGCAGTAGTACGTAGTGTGGATCAAATTATTTTTTAGTGATTGATTTGAGAAGCACCACCTTGGATAAGGCTTTACGCGTATGTTTAAAGATTAATTAGTTGAGTGGATTAGCCATAATCACTAAAAGCTTAGGATAACTAAGTTTGCGATCAATAAAGCCGGACAAATCACATGTTAGCACTTGAAAGTTTAATTAATTAAACCTTATAAACCGCTTATTATAATTATAACATGGACCAATAATGAGTTAATTGTTGGGGTTAAAGCTCAGAAACATGATTATTTCAAATCAAGAAGTTGGTTATTGTGGTAGTTAGCAGTTGGCACATGGAATGCACAATGATCACCAAGAAAAGATCTTGCAAAGAACAAAGAATATGCAGCATTAATTCTGATTTAAGAAAGTGGTCTCAAATGATGACAAGTTAACAATATTATTTTAGATGTGCAATGCAAATATGATTCCAAAGCAAGTAAAAGGAAACAATAATTTAAAGAAAAAGAAAAGAAAAGAAGGAAAGTTGAGAAATAAATAATTATATAGCAATCAAGAAGTCGGTTGTTGTTGCTAGAAATATATGTGGTAGTTTAAAATCTTTTTCGGGTAGCTTGAATTTAATCAAATCAAACTTGATAAGGAAATATACAATAATAATATATAACTAATAAGTTTATTTATTTATAAATATTATTAATAAAAAAAAAGAAGTTTATTAGATGAAACAGACAAGAGAGCCATTACAATAGCAGTACGACGGATATGGACAAAACTTTTCCCAAATCAACAAGTGAAAACGATTTGGGGAGAATGACTCCCAAAAAAAAAGTGCATACAATTGTTTGGTTTAGATTGTATATATTAAGCATGCAAGAGTGTTTGGTTTCGTTACTCCCACGTGCACACATGGTTGCCCATGTGTACACCCACATTAGACATATGACCTCAAGTTAATTAGTTTAGAAATCTTCGTAACTTAAGTGCGGTGTGACAATCATACTAAAAATTTATTAAACAATCAGTGACGTGGTAGATAACATGATTAAAGCTCTCCTACATTAATAAATGTGTCTATTCCTTTTCATTTGTAACCAACAATTAAGGAAGACTCAAGTCTAATTGGCTATGGTGTTGAATGAAATGCCATGTTAATTATTGTATATATAAAGTGGGATAAATGAAGATTGACTACTTTAAAAAGTTAATGTCGGCCTAACTACAAAGATTAACATTTATTAGTAAGTTTTATTAATATTATTGGTAAGCA